TTTTTGAGCTTGAAGCGCTTTAAATTCGAGAAAATCGAGTTAAACGATTTTCGCCTAGACGGTCGCCAAAATGACCGATCACAAGGGCTTAAAATTAGTAATCTAAAGTTAATTTGCATTTGCGTGTAAAGGAGAACCAAAACATATCGAGACTTTTTCTTGAAAGACAAAGTATTCAGCTATCCAAAACAGTTTAGAACTTGACTTGAGCGCCATTTGAGAATAAACACACAATTTTAAAAAACTCCCTTTCAGTTTCTAGGTCGAATTCCTAATTTATGAATAAAATTCAGAGATATTTTTCGACATGTGCCATAACGCCAAGTTCCTTGAAACTTCGCCTTTGGAACACTTTTATGTTGTTGTGAAACATGTATTAAAATCAGCTTGGGTTATTCTTCGAGTGATTTTTGAGGCCCGGCTGAAAAAACCCGGTTTTATCTAAAACATGACGAAAAGTTAACAATGGACTTTTGTGTGTTGGTCTGAAGGCAGTCCGATATAGGCGTTTAAAGTCTTTGTAATGTTACTTCCTTGTACTCAGCACTTTTATGTTGATGCAAAACATATATATCAAAATCAGCTCGGGTTATTCTTCGAGTGGTTTTTAACTAACCGCTGAAATAACCGGATTTTAAAGAAAACATCAGCAAGAAGTAAACAATAGACTGCTTGCGTGTTTTTCTGAGACCAAGAGACAGAAGAGAATACTTCTTTCATTGTCATATTTTCGTTCTGCAGGTCAATATGCTTCTTTTAAGTAAAATAAAATGACAACACGAGTTTATTCATGCATTCAAAAGTACCTTCACTCACAGGGAATATTTCAATCTTTTTACGTAAAATTAGATTACTGGCAAGTGGATAATGTGTACATTTCACAACCACGGCACCGCAATTCTAAACAATTAAACCTGTTTAAATGTGTACTTGTATAAATAAAGTTACAGAGTTGTATTTACATGTACTTCAGTTGAATATGGAAAACGGAACTGCAAAGTAAATGTGAGCAGGCGCTTATTTTCCAACCTTCTAATATAGACCTTGCCCATTTAATTAAGTCGCTTAAAGCTGGGAAGGTACAACGGAAGGTATACTAACCTGCGCCGACAAAAACAACAACATTGATCGCAAGAAAAATTTCCGCTGGCAATCCTTAGGATTTTTCTCTATTCTTCTCTCCTTCGTGACCTCTTCGTGGAACGGATATCATGGTGGATAGCGGCAAATTTGTGTCACCTTAGGCCCGGTCCAAACGCCGCTCCACTCATGTGCCGAACCAAACTTGATTAAGTTCGACTTTAGAGCGACTTTGGAGCACCGGCTGGTTTAGACAGCGTACTTGCGTCGAACTTAATTTCGGAAGCCGGTGGTAACAATTTTTGACGAGAAAATATGCGTTCTGAATTCAAGAACTCTGTCCAAATAGAAAAGCTGTGACTAACATTTCGCTGTTGTAGCAATATTTAGGGAAGCAAATTCAAACTCAATGTTCAGTGTTTGTATTTAGATAAGTTTTCTCCCGGTTAATTCGACTTGTTAAAGGGAAATCAGATAATCTGGGCTATTATCACAAAGAAAAAGCAAAAAATGAATTTGCGCGAAAGAAACTCGCTTATACAGTCCCGTTTCTCATAAATCGACGGCATATTTAATTTTGTTGTGTTTAGTTTTAGCGACGACTTTGAGCTTCATGCATGACTTCTCACGCCACTCAATTTTGAGCCAATCACGAGTCCCGCTATATGAAAAATACATTACAGTAATTTATGCATTAGGTTCGACACATGAGGAGAACGCCGTATGAAGCAGCTACCGCTCCAACGTCGCATAGTGCGACAGACCCTGCCGAATTTATTGTTGTTTGCCGCACCAAACCTAACCTGCTAAACCAAACTGATTCAAACGCCGCTCTTCTGCCGTACTTAACTCATCAGTTAGGTTCGGCACATGAATGGAGCGGCGTTTGGAACGGGCCTAAGGCCCGGTCCAAACGCCGCTCCACTCATGTGCCGAACCAAACTTGATTAAGTTCGACTTTAGAGCGACTTTGGAGCACCGGCTGGTTTAGACAGCGTACTTGCGTCGAACTTAATTTCGGAAGCCGGTGGTAACAATTTTTGACGAGAAAATATGCGTTCTGAATTCAAGAACTCTGTCCAAATAGAAAAGCTGTGACTAACATTTCGCTGTTGTAGCAATATTTAGGGAAGCAAATTCAAACTCAATGTTCAGTGTTTGTATTTAGATAAGTTTTCTCCCGGTTAATTCGACTTGTTAAAGGGAAATCAGATAATCTGGGCTATTATCACAAAGAAAAAGCAAAAAATGAATTTGCGCGAAAGAAACTCGCTTATACAGTCCCGTTTCTCATAAATCGACGGCATATTTAATTTTGTTGTGTTTAGTTTTAGCGACGACTTTGAGCTTCATGCATGACTTCTCACGCCACTCAATTTTGAGCCAATCACGAGTCCCGCTATATGAAAAATACATTACAGTAATTTATGCATTAGGTTCGACACATGAGGAGAACGCCGTATGAAGCAGCTACCGCTCCAACGTCGCATAGTGCGACAGACCCTGCCGAATTTATTGTTGTTTGCCGCACCAAACCTAACCTGCTAAACCAAACTGATTCAAACGCCGCTCTTCTGCCGTACTTAACTCATCAGTTAGGTTCGGCACATGAATGGAGCGGCGTTTGGAACGGGCCTAAGGCCCGGTCCAAACGCCGCTCCACTCATGTGCCGAACCAAACTTGATTAAGTTCGACTTTAGAGCGACTTTGGAGCACCGGCTGGTTTAGACAGCGTACTTGCGTCGAACTTAATTTCGGAAGCCGGTGGTAACAATTTTTGACGAGAAAATATGCGTTCTGAATTCAAGAACTCTGTCCAAATAGAAAAGCTGTGACTAACATTTCGCTGTTGTAGCAATATTTAGGGAAGCAAATTCAAACTCAATGTTCAGTGTTTGTATTTAGATAAGTTTTCTCCCGGTTAATTCGACTTGTTAAAGGGAAATCAGATAATCTGGGCTATTATCACAAAGAAAAAGCAAAAAATGAATTTGCGCGAAAGAAACTCGCTTATACAGTCCCGTTTCTCATAAATCGACGGCATATTTAATTTTGTTGTGTTTAGTTTTAGCGACGACTTTGAGCTTCATGCATGACTTCTCACGCCACTCAATTTTGAGCCAATCACGAGTCCCGCTATATGAAAAATACATTACAGTAATTTATGCATTAGGTTCGACACATGAGGAGAACGCCGTATGAAGCAGCTACCGCTCCAACGTCGCATAGTGCGACAGACCCTGCCGAATTTATTGTTGTTTGCCGCACCAAACCTAACCTGCTAAACCAAACTGATTCAAACGCCGCTCTTCTGCCGTACTTAACTCATCAGTTAGGTTCGGCACATGAATGGAGCGGCGTTTGGAACGGGCCTAAGGCCCGGTCCAAACGCCGCTCCACTCATGTGCCGAACCAAACTTGATTAAGTTCGACTTTAGAGCGACTTTGGAGCACCGGCTGGTTTAGACAGCGTACTTGCGTCGAACTTAATTTCGGAAGCCGGTGGTAACAATTTTTGACGAGAAAATATGCGTTCTGAATTCAAGAACTCTGTCCAAATAGAAAAGCTGTGACTAACATTTCGCTGTTGTAGCAATATTTAGGGAAGCAAATTCAAACTCAATGTTCAGTGTTTGTATTTAGATAAGTTTTCTCCCGGTTAATTCGACTTGTTAAAGGGAAATCAGATAATCTGGGCTATTATCACGAAGAAAAAGCAAAAAATGAATTTGCGCGAAAGAAACTCGCTTATACAGTCCCGTTTCTCATAAATCGACGGCATATTTAATTTTGTTGTGTTTAGTTTTAGCGACGACTTTGAGCTTCATGCATGACTTCTCACGCCACTCAATTTTGAGCCAATCACGAGTCCCGCTATATGAAAAATACATTACAGTAATTTATGCATTAGGTTCGACACATGAGGAGAACGCCGTATGAAGCAGCTACCGCTCCAACGTCGCATAGTGCGACAGACCCTGCCGAATTTATTGTTGTTTGCCGCACCAAACCTAACCTGCTAAACCAAACTGATTCAAACGCCGCTCTTCTGCCGCACTTAACTCATCAGTTAGGTTCGGCGCATGAATGGAGCGGCGTTTGGAACGGGCCTAACCTGTCTTATCGCTGCCAAATAGGATTCGCTGACCTCTGATTTTCCCTAACCCTAACCCTAACCCTAAGTAAACAATGGACTTTTGCTACTGGTCTGAGGGCAATGGGTATGGGCATTTAAGTCCTTATATTATGAATTCTTTGTACTAATACGCAAATTGTTTGCTTGCATCTGTAATATAACAGTAAAATATGATTGAAAAACGTTACTCTGGTTTAAAAATGTAAAAATGTTAG